TAAGTAGACAAAGTAGACAGTCCACTCTCCGTGGTCTGGGTAGTTTCAGTCTGTTCCACCTCTGGTAGCCCGCATAGCTAACACAGCTATCTGAGGATATCTATGTGCTAGCTCAGTGACTGCTCCCCTTCCTAGGGTCTTAAGTAGCGGTCTCCCTGAGCCCTCACCTAGATAGCGCTGGGTTTTTCAGGCTAGCTGTGTTGGACCAGCTGCAGATAGCTCGGTGATTGCTCCCCTTTTTAGGGTTTTAAGTAGTGGTCTCCTTGAGCCCTACCTAGACAGTGCTGTCTCCCCTGCTAGGGTTGCAAGTAGACAGCCCACTCTTTGTGGTCCCCTCCTGTTCTACTATTCCTAAAATCCATGTTTATGGTAAGCGTATACTGTAGCTTCTGTGCGCTTTCTAAAATCCACTTTGTGGTAAGTGTGCACGCTAGGCACCCTGCACACTTTTCTAAAATCCTGTATGGTATGGGTTACACGCTCGACTTTGTTCCCATTCTCTGAGTTGGTTCTGGCCCCGGTTCTCCTTGGGCCCCACTCCACTTATGTATCTCTTGCGATACTTCTGAACAGGGCTTCCTCTCGTTAAGAGAGTCATTCTTAGGTACATGGCTATCTGAGGATATCAATGTGCTAGCTTAGGGACTGCTCCCCCTTCTTGGGGTTTTAAGTAGCGGTCTCCCTGGCTTAGACAGTGCTATCTCCCCTAAGTAGATAATCATTCCCTTGGTCTGGGCAGCTCTTTAGGAAGGTCCTTTTCATAAGACCCTTTGGATATAGCTATCTGCGGATAGCTGTGTCCTTGCTGGGATTGTTGGTGGCAATCTTGAGAACTCCTCTAGGCTTCCAGCCTCTCAGTGGTCTTATGTATCTGGCTACTATTGCTCACATAGCATAGCTATCTGAGGATGGCTGTGTTCTTAGCTTGGTTAGGGTGTTCAACCTTATCTGGTATCGGGCTCCCTCTTTTTACCAAGTTATGTGAGAGGCCCGAGGCGCCAGTGGCTTGGCCTCTTTCTGAGGAAAGCTTTGGTGTATGTCTGTCACCTCCTTGGTGCTCTCTCACCAGGTGGACAAGCATGCGCCTCGGCATGGCGGGATTGGATATCGTTCCCCAAAGTGTCCACCAGGACGCAGCGTTGAGTTTCCTAGAAGGGGAACGTCTCGGGTTACTCATGTAACCATGGTTCCCCGAGAGGACAAGACTCTGCGTCCCTTTGCCATGCCTTCGGCCTGCCTGTTTACGTCTCCTCAGACAACTGAGTTGGTGACATATTCAGCAGGTGCCCTTTTTATACTTTCGGGTACCCGCCTATGACGTCATGGGCCACGTAGACCAATAGGATTGGAGTTGTTTTATGCATGCTTCAGGTACCGGTCATGCAGACAGCGTTCCCCAAAGTGTCCACCAGGACGCTGCGTCTCGTTCCCTCTCGGGGAACCATGGTTACATGAGTAACCCGAGATGTTAGCCACTGTTGCAATCTTGAATAAAAGATCAGATATATGAACTTTTTTCTCTCTCTCTCTCTCTCATGTGTTTTGGTGTCTTTTATCAAATCTGAAAAGTAATTGTGTGTTTGTTGTCAAATACTAATATGATTTTTTTTCTCAACTAGTCCTACAAAAGTCAGTGAAAAAAGTATAATTTTAATAATGAATTATGAATCTGTTGTATGATAATGTTAAGTGCTCCATACGTAAGCTGGTGTTGATTAAATATTTCTGGTCTGGAAATTGTTGCCCAATCCTGCTCCACTGTTCAAAAGGGCATGGCTATTGTGAAATAGCAATGCTTTTATTGCCTTAGACCTTTATATATATATATGTGTGTGTGTGTGTGTGTGTGTGTGTACAGTGAGGTCCAAAATCTGAGAATTGTATTTGTTTTGTATTACAAATTACATCATCAGCATAACAAATTCAGAAATAGTAATTGATATACATTTTTATTGAATTTAATATAAGCATGTCTAAAGTAGAAGCAAGGAAATTTGACCTTTCCCATGAAGTAATTCCCCTTGGTAAATGTCAGAACTTTGCCACAAAAGTAGTGCAGATTTGTAAATTCTTGTGGTATAATCCTATATATCATAGGCTTTATTGTTCACTTTTATTTGTTTTATTTCTCTAGATCCTGGCAAATATTATAATTTTCATATGTGGTAACCTGGCAGGAGCATACCATAAGCATCTGATGGAACTGGCACTAAAGCAGACATATCAAGACACCTGCAACTGCATAAAATCACCCATCAAACTGGAGTTTGAGAAACGACAGCAGGTTAAGTATCAGTCTTGCATTACTTTCTATCATTTCTGGAGTCGTGATCTTTCAGCTGGTCTGTGGCTGGAACTGAAAGACCTGCCAAAACTGAGATATTCCATGTTTCCTTTGGCAAAGCACAGAATGCTCATTGTGACTTAACATTGGTGAATTCAGGAGTGAACTGGGTCTAGTCCTGGAACACTGGAAAGCTTTTGTGTTATGTGCCAGTTGCTGAAAGAATGACATAACTAGATTAGATTAGTGTAATAATAATAATAATAATTCCTCAACCTCCTAATATGTATCACACAAATTTTTTTTTTAAAGATTTATTTTTGGCGTTTTTGCCTTTTATTGATAGGATAGTAGTAAGACAGGAAGCAAAGTGGAAGAGAGAGGGGGGATGGAATCGGGAAAGGTCCGCGAGCCGGGACTCGAACACGGGACGCCCGAAGCGAAATGGCGTTACATGTCGACGCGCTGCCAACGAGGCTATCGGTGACGTATCACACAAATTTAATGTTTATTTAATCTACAGGCATGTTTTTGCAAATGTCATTAGAAATGTGAAAGTATAGTATATTTGATGGTACAGAAGCTTCTTTAATATGGCTGCTTTTGTAAAGTGAATCAGAAGTGTGATTATAGTATTTTCCCTCTTTTTGACAGTTCCTAGTTGGTCATGTTAAAAAGTTTTTAAAGGTCAGTTCCCTGTCGATTCTTCACTCGTACTGCATCTTGCTAAAGACGCTATGGGAAAAAGCCTTTTTTCTCCTGAACTGAAGTCTTTTTCAAGACTTTGTTTCGTGCAGTGTATTAAAAACGAACCAATGGCTCGGCAGCGGAGCTGCACGAGCCTATGGCGACAAAGCCCGCCAGAGCCCGTCAGAATGGGCGGGGCCATCTGGTTATATAAGCAGGCGTTCGCCACAGGATTCTCAGATTTCTTCTCCTTCAACGACGACTCTACGCTCTACGCTGATCCCGAAGCCTGCTTGCCGTTGACCTGCCTCGCAGCTGGACTGAGACCTCTCTGCTCAGCTGATCCGCTTTCTGCGCCGCCTCAGCGTCGCAGCAGTTCCGGTCCTGTTCCCCTGCCGCCATCCGGCGATTCTAAAAGAGCTTACTAAAAGAGCTTGGCGTTGTTGCAAATGCCATGCCGTTACTGCGGTTCGTGCAGGTCTCCCCTGCACACCGATGACGGCCACGCCGAGTGCGTTTCCTGCTTGGGGAAATCCCACACAGAAGCCGCACTAACGGGAACTGATTGTACTCACTGCGAGAACTTCAGTCTCGCCTCTCTACGCTCGCGGATAGCTTTCTTTTTAGAGAGTGAATCTGCCCCTCGCACCCTCCCGTTTTCTTCCTCCCAGGGACCTGTGAGGAAAAAGAGCGGGGCAGAGGACTCGAGCGTCCGGCTGCGAGCAAGCTCACATCAGCCCAGATCCTGCGTGCCTTGCCCTCGCCTCAGAGAGAGGTTTCACCAGTCCTCTTCTTCCAGCATGACCAGCGTCCCTCTGCCAGTGCGAGCCATCTGGTCTCGCTTCTCACTTCTTCGGCGCTCCATTCAGTGGCGGTCCTCCAGGTCTTTCAAGCCAAGATCCTCGCCTCCACGGACGAGTCTGGCCTGGACCCCGCGACTCTCAGGGAGCTGAGGAGTGCAACTGACCTGGCTCTGCGAACCACCAAGACCACCGCTCAGTCGATGGCCAGCCTTGTGGTGCTCGAGCGCCATTTATGGCTGACGCTAACGGAGATCAAGGACATGGATAAGGTCCCCTTCCTTGATGCGCCGATCTCCCCCAACGGCCTCTTCGGACCGGCGGTCGAAGGGTTCGCCGAGCGCTTCACGGAGGCACAGAAGTCGTCCCAAGCTATGCAACACTTCCTGCCAAAGCGCTCCAGCTCCGCTGCTGCTCCTAGTCGCCCTAAGTCTACGCCGACTCAGCAGCCCATGAAGCAAGCACCTGCCGTTCCCGCCATTCAGCCTGCTAAGACTCAGCAGACACGAGGGCGTTCCCACTCGGTCAGACGCTACCCCTTTCCTAAGCGCCAGGAACCCGACCCAAGATAGCTTTGGACCCGGCGCCTCAGGCATCTTCCTGATCTGCGAGGCAGGAAGAGGATGGGGCCAAGTCTCGCTGCAGTCGGACCACCCCCCAAGCAGCCTCTCTTAAGCCTCCTATCACCCCGTTCAACCCTGCGTGCAGAGGGAAATGTGTTTGTTGTGAACACTGGACTCGTTCAAGCGCCCAAGCAATCAACTGCTGTTATAGCGCGAAAAATAATACTCAAACATTTTCAAAAAGAGAGCAAAATTCCTCTTCCATTTCTCACGAGTGCCCTGCCCCCGTGCAGCCAGTCACTCGAGCTAATCCAACCCTTCGCCACGCAGGCTGAGGCCTGGCAGGCCATCAAAATGGGTTATGGGGATAATAAAACGAGGTTATTCACTCCAATTCGCTCGAAGACCCCCGCGCTTCAGCGGCGTGGTCCCCACATTACTGCAAAGCAAGGGCGCTCACGTCCTGCACTCAGAGGTGATGAATCTAATGGCAAAAGGAGCTGTAGAAACGGTTCCTCCAGCTCAGAGCGAGTCAGGCTTCTACAGCCGTTACTTCCTCGTCCCCAAAAAGGATGGTGGCCTCCGGCCCATCCTTGATCTCAGACACCTGAATCACGCCCTCATGAAAAGGTAATTCAGGATAACTACGCTGAAACAGATCCTCGTACAGATTCGCTCAGAAGACTGGTTCTTTTCTCTGGACCTGAAAGATGCATACTTTCACATCCAGATAGCCCCCCCTCAGAGACAATTCTTGAGATTCACCTTCGAGGGAGTGGCTTATCAGTACACGGTCCTTTCCTTCGGGTTGTCTCTGGCTCCCCGCACTTTTACGAAGTGCATGGTCTCTGGCTCCCTGCACTTTTACGAAGTGAAACTCTCTGAGACAGATGGGAATCCGCATTCTTACCTACCTCGATAACTGGCTCGTGCTGGCTCAGTCAGAGGCAGAATTAATATCACACAGGACCCTCCTCCTCAGCCACTTAGAGCGCCTGGGACTCAGGGTCAATTTCGCCAAGAGCACGCTTTTCCCCAGACAGCGAATATCGTTCCCGGGAACAGTTTTCAACTCCGCTCAAATGAGAGCTGTAGTCGCGCCGGAATGGGCTCTTGCCATACGGAAACTCGCGTCCTCCTTCGAGATCGGTGCCACTCGCCATCTCAAAATGTTTCAGAGGATGCTGGGCCTCATCGCCGCATCATCACCACCACTACAGCTGGGCCTGCTTTGTATGCGTCGCCTTCAGCGCTGGCTGAACCCGCGGGTTCTATCCCATGCGTGGTGTCACGGACGCCTACATATCAGGGTGAGCCAGGCCTGTGTAACAGCCCTGGCCCCTTGGAAGAACTCTCGCTAGATGGAACAGGGTGTGTCCATGGGAATGGTTTGCAGGAGAAAAGTTGTCACGACAGATGCCTCCAACGCAGGTTGGGGGTCGCTGTGCGAGGGCAAACCGACTTTAGGCCATTGGTCGAAAGCGGAAAAAGGGTTTCACATCAACTGCTTGGAAATGCTAGCAGTGTGTCGAGCCTGTCAGTTCTTCCTGCCAGTCCTAAGGGGACACCATGTGCTAATACGATTGGTCAACATGTTGGTGGTGTCCTACATAAATCGTCAAGCAGGCCTCTCTTTGAAGGGCCTCTTCATTCTGGTTGAGCGCCTTCAGGAATGGGCTCAACTCAACCTGCGCTCGCTGAGGGCAGCATATATACCGGGCAAATTGAATCGAGGAGCTGACATGTTATCACGGAGCAATGTCCCCTCAGAGGAGTGGATGCTCCATCCACAGACGGTTCAGAGAATCTGGGAGATCTTCGGCGAGGCGAGGTAGACCTCTTCGCCTCAGAAGACAACTCTCACTGCCCAATTTATTATTCCAAGGTCAGGGACGCGTTGGCCCACGATTGGCCTAACCTCCTCTTTTATGCATTGATTCCACAGGTAATCAGGCAAATCAGGGAACAGAGACACAAGGTTCTCTTGGTGGCCCCTCTCTGGAAGAACCATCTTTGGTTATCAGAGCTGAACCAGTTGCTGGTAGCAGGCCCCTGGCCCATTTCGTTGAGACGGGATCTCCTCTCTCAAGTGGACGGGACAATATGGCACCCTCGGCCCGAGCTGTGGGCCCTGCACCTTTGGCCACTCGACGGGAGCCTATAAGCCTCCCAGAGCGAGTTTTAAACACTATTTCGGAGGCTAGAGCCGTCTCTATGCCCTTAAGTGGTCTATTTTCTCCGCTTGGTGCCTAAACCGCGGTGAAGACCCATCTACCTCTGACCTATCGGTGGTTGTGTCATTCATGAAAGAGCTGCTGGTTAAGGGACGCTCCCCATCCACCCTCAAAGTATACATAGCAGCTATGGCGACCTCTCATGCCCTGATTGCGGGCCAATCGGTGGGCAGGAACAGCGCGGTTGTCCGCTTCTTGAGGGGTGCCAGGAGGCTGAATCCGCCTCGCCCCTCACTGTCCCTTCATGGGATCTGCCCACTGTGCTCCTTTTGAGCCACTACAGTCTACCAACCTTCGGTCACTGTCGCTGAAGACTGCTCTGCTTCTAGCACTAGCATCGGTAAAGCGAATAGGAGACCTGCAGGCGCTTTCCATTAGCCCTGCCTACTTGGAATTCGGGCCTAACGTCTCTTAAGGTCGTCCTGAAACCAAGGCATGGTTACATACCCAAGGTGCTCTCCACTCCATTCAGAGCACAGGTCATCGCGCTCTCTGCGCTTCCTTCCTCTGAAGAGGACCGAGAGTTATCCTTGCTCTGCCCCGTCAGAGCTCTAAGAATTTACATTGAGCGTTCCGCCCCCTTCAGCTAAACCTGTATTAAGGACTGTAAAAAGATGGACTAATGAAGCAGAGCAGGATTTACAAGCTTGTTTTGACCTCACTGATTGGAGTGTTTTTGAAGCTGCTGCCACCGATCTGGACGAGCTCACAGAGAC